GACATAAATTATTATTATTATTATTATTATTATTATTATTATTATTATTATTATTATTATTATTATTATTATTATTATTATTATTATTATTATTGTTATTATTACCAGTATATTATCATTAATACTATATTATTATATTGCATTGAATAATTATACATTTTTATATTGTATAAGCTTATAAGTATTATGAACGTTACAGTATTATAAGCATACTGCAATATTGTTAATATTAGTATTATTATAAGCAATACAAGCATTAGTTTTAGATTTTTTATTTTTGTTTTTGCTCTTTTTTTTTTTGAAAAATTAAAACGAACGATTTAAATTGAGCAATGATTTTTGAACTGCACATTGAAGACAATATCGTGCATTGCAACACTTGGTGACAATGTATTTGACATCCAGTATTGTCTTCTTACAACCGTCACATATGTCATTGGTATCATTATCAACTAATAATTCATTACAACCTGATACTGGGCATACTGTAAGAAATAATACACTATAAGAAAATCATATCATTAAAATATTAACAAATATTAAAAAAAGAATTTCTTATTTCTAGAATGAATTCTATCAAAAATCTTTTTACAGAATAAAAAAAAATTTAATTCACCAAAAAATTTACAATTTGCTGCTAAAAAAGAAATTTTCAAAGATTTTTTTATTGGATTTACTAAATTGTATTAAATTTTTAATATTTTCTTTTTATATTAATATTTAATTATTTCTAACAAATATAATTTACAATGCGTTAATTCATCTTTTTTTTTTTAGATTACTTTTATAAAAGTTTCAAATTGATTTTTTTTTCTTACCTGCAGGTTGCATTTTAGGAAAGTTCTTCAAAACAAGGATTGCATAATTCATGCTTACAATTTCCTATAGGATTTGAGTCATAAAATGATAATTTCCTACAAGAGAACAGATTTTATTAGGTAATGGCAAGATTTTGTACCTTTTGTCTCTTTTAATTTCAATTTTCAAATTTTAATCCTAAATTTTTTTCGAATTTTATTAAAATTGAAAGCAAAAGTTACATTATTTCTTGACTAATAATTACTTCCTAACCTTCGTTAGCTCTATTTATTATTCAAGAAAAAAAAATTGAGCCAAATAATCAAATAACCAAATAATATGATAAAATCAATTGAAATAATCAATAATAATCAAATTAATTATTTTGGCCTTACACCACAAATGCAATTAAAATTAAAAAGGGAAAAATAGGAAATTTTATTATCGATTTGTCCTCGTCATTTAAAATGGTTAAATTGCTTCATTGAAATTTTGGCTTTACCCTTTGCCCTTATTAATTATTTTTAAAGCTAATAAAATTTCAGTCATTTTTTTTTTGATTCAATCGAAAAGTTTGGATGAAATATAAATTTTAGGAAACAAATAAATAAATAAAAATCAGAATATTTTGATATTTAGAATTATTCATCATCAATTCATTCATTGTTTTGTAATTTTTCAACTATATGCAAAGTTAAAATTTAAACAGTGTTAAATGTAACAGCTTAATATCAAAAATCAAATTCCTATCATGCCACTCAATCAACGATATTTAATTAATTTAATTAATTACTTTAATTACTACACTTTGCACGACAACTCACAACAATAGCCATCACCTTGCAAAATTTTTCTTCTTTTTTTTTCTCTCTATCTTTTCGTCTCTATTTTTTCGCATATATTTAATTAATTATTTCATACTGTGCACTACAATTAGATGTGACAGCTTACTATCAAAAACAAAAATTCCTACCATACTAATTAATTGATGATACTTAATTAGCTGTTTTTAATTAATTATTTTGATTACCACAACTCTGTATTACAACTTCCAACAATATCCATCATTTTCAAAAGTTTTCCCTTTTTTTTCTTTTTTCTCTCTATCTTTTCGCATCCATCATTTTATTGCTTAAATTTTCCTCATAAAACACCATATTCTTTTGCAAATCTTAGCAAACTTTCTGTAATTTTCCCAAATATTACTCTCTTTCTCTCTTCTTTTACTCTCAATCCTTAAAATCTTTCTTATTCGCTTCTACAATCACTCCCAATTCACAATCACTCTCAATTACTTTCAATTCCTATAATCACTCTCAATCTCTGCAATTTCTCCAGATATTGCTCCTTCTTTTTACTCTTCATTCTTACATCTCTCCAAATACTGCTCTTTTTTCTTTTACTCTCAATCTTTGCATTTTGATTGTGATAAATTTTTATCATTTTCAAACAAATATCATGCTAGTAAATTCCAAGTATTCAAAAAATTTCATTTAACAAATTATTTTGAAATGATATTTAGCAAAAGAACGATAATAATAGCTGGACATTATGTAAGTAATTAATTGATTATTCAAATTTATTAGTTTGGAAAAAAATCCGAAATTTAATTAATTTTCATACATTATTTAAATTATTTTTTAAATTGGAAATTCTCTTACCTGGGACACATATCATTGTCACAATTATTCAGCGTGAGAATTTTAGTGCAAGCATTTGAAAAGCAATGATGCATTAAGCATATCTAAATATTTTTTAAATTTTATTAGAGACAATTCTCATTCAATTTTTTAATTATTAATTTTAGTTATTTAATTTTCTATTATTTCGTTTTGTCAAATTACATAATTTTGCAAATTCTATGAAAATTTCAAATACTACTGCATGATTCTTATTTTCCTTTTTTTTTTTTTTCAAATGTATTGTTCATCAAGTTAATTGCTAATTATTGTCTAAAAAAGGGTTATTAACAAAAAAGGGTACAAAAAATTGATTAATTATACATTTAAAACTAAAAATTTTTTAATTAAACAATAATTAGTTCCGTTTTTTTCTCTTTTTATTTTAACTTTAAAAATATTTTTTTTTTTTGTATGTAAGGTTTACTTGAAAATCCTAATTCAACATACGCCTGCCTAAATTTTACATAGTAAATTTTCGATTCCTAAATTTTAAAACAAAACTTTTCACATTATTAACATCAATTAATTCCTCTGTATTGTTGTTGTAAAAAATAAATAACATTTTCCATGAATAATTAATTTTATTCTAATTAAGTTATAGCATATAACCTTATCTGTACTTCTCTTATCAAGACATGTGGAACAAAACAGGTGTAAACAAGGTAGAAGTTGGCGCATTTCATTAACCATTTGCCAACGTTCACAGATTGGACATCGTAGCATAACACTATCCATCCCATTTGACATTATTAACAGTAACCTAATTAACCCCATAGATTACATTTTATAGAGAATAATTAAGGATGTATTACTGCAAAGTTTAATTTTTATGCAAATTTGACAAACAATTCAAAAGTAATTTATTTAAAATAATTTTAATTTCAGAATTTATGAAATGTTTCCAACTCATAAGGATTAAATGGATAATATCAAAAGTATTGCAAAATTTATGCTTCTAACCAGTATAATTCCATTAATTTTATTTCAGGACATCTGACGGAATATGAAAACGTTATGCATATTTTAAGAGAGAAAGAGGGAGAGAGAGGGAGAAAGGGTGAGAGAGAGTTGAATAAGAGAAGCTTTCATATTTTGGCATTATCAAAAAGTTAACTTTAGGATTTGAACAGTAGATATTCTGGAACTTAAATTTTTGAATGCTCCAAATCAATTCAAGGATTTATTTAACATTAGAATT